AGAACCCCAGGTGGTCGAAATTTCTGGAGCCCTCCACTACGGCGTCTCTCATAATCATATAGTGGTTTTGGGACGTTAAACCCCACTTATCAACCAGCATTCAAAAGCCACGGCTTAACAGCCTGAATCACTGGAGTCATCAAATACTTCGCTCAGTTAATACCATGTGATCTCGTTTTTACGCCACAAATATTTCGGCAAGTGGTGCCGCGAATGGATACTAGATAGCTAGATACTCAATGTGCCTGCAGTACGCAAACAAATGCTTCGCATTTAAAAGTCGCGGCTGAACAGCCTGAATCACTGGAGTCATCAAAAACTTCGCCCAGTCATTACCACGGGATCTTGTTTTATACGTCACAAAGATTCCTGCAATTGACGCCACGGTATGTCCTCGCCACCAATATTAGTTCGCATGAAACCCCCTGTAAAGGTAGTTTCACCGCTAGTGTTGAGCCGTGAAAATGTCTATCTAGAAAAAATCAGCACTACCATGAAGCCCTACTTCAAGGTGAAATGAACCGTTTTTTAAGTTCAAAAGCTTGTTACACTGGCTAATAGGCTCTAAGTATAGTAAATTTTAAAACACAACATATTTTACAGGTTATCACTAGCATTCTATCAAAAGTCAAATCCTGCGATTATTCAAAGTTTCCACTTCTATTGAGCAAAAAAAAAAAATGGCATTTGCACAGGCCTTATATCACCTTCTGAAAAAGATTGTGCAGGTTAGTGAGGTCATGACAGATATGCCCATCTTTCTTTATAATATGTCATATTGTATATTCCTCAATGCGAAATTAATCAACTAAAACCACTACTCGCTTCGAACTTAAGATTCACTACTATTCGCACAAGCCTAGAAATAACCAAAGCTATCGTGCCTGTTGTACTTGTCGTCAAAACCTCGAAGTATGACGTGAAGGAGTTGCATGCTGTGAATACGATACGCTGGCAATTCATTGGCCACACTTATTAGCCATACTTACGTTTCAGAAGCTTGCAAAATTAGCGAGATAATTAGCATTTCATTGGTGGGTTGCATTCACTGACTCTCAAGTAATATCAAGACTGTGTGTACTTTAGCTGTGCATTGACAAGTTGGCTTCGCTGATTAGTTTGGAGGAGAAAAAAGACGACCTTGTTCAAAATGAACAGAACACCTGCACATATGGAGGCTGACACTGTGAATGTATTATGAGTCTTGAAACTTGTCATAGAGGTTTCTTTTTCACAAATTTGTTCTGTCCTGTATGGAGGATATCTATATCCAATGGATAGGTTTCTAGTGGTCCTATAAGGAGGCAGTTGTGAATATGCGCGGTCTCATCGCATTCTCTATTTATGTCATTTGTCTTATGTAGGCATTATTCAGTCACACCATTACAGTACGTGATTGCTCTTTTGCACGGTTCAGTTGAGCCACCGGGAGCAGATGGCGTTCCAGTACCAGGACAAGCTGAAGGAGCGGTTCAAGCAGCACCCGCAGGTGCGCCGCATTGCCCGCCACCGACATGTTCCCAAGCACATTCACAATGCTCAGAAAGAGAAGCAGGCCATGCTTTCATCACAGAAACGCAAGTATGTACCCTGCTGCCCTGGCCCCATGTGTTTTTGCAATGCCTTCAGTAATGTGTTTGTGTTTATTGCACATTTGTGTGTGTGCCCCCATTTTGTTCAAACACTTTCTGCGTAGCCCTTACAACGCGGTTTACGGCACAGTACATAGATAGATAGCATGCATGGCTTGTAAAACATGAGCTTGCCCCCATTTGCAGTAACATAAAAGCTATACTACTTGAAAAAAGTCTGCCAAGGCTCCGGCCAGATGACTCAAGCGCAGCAGCCAATAGCACCCAATATTATCACTCGTCAAAGGCCCAGCTCATGATCTCAGTGCAGGCCTTCGAAATGCCTGGGACTTGTGAAGGCAAGTATTTAAGCGCCTAGACTAGTTGAAGTATTACAGTTTGCTTCAATATGAAATTAAGAGCACCTTATGCCTAAGACGACTCGTCCTTCACAGTCATCCTCCAAAAGCTCTCTTCTGCAGTGCTTCCATGACCAATGTCGTGATGATGATGTGATAAGTGACATCGTCATGTGGTGATGATCTCTTGCGTCACAGTCAATTTTTGCATTTGATGCAAATTTTGCATTTGCACCTTAAAACTATTGTTATGCATATGTGATTTGGGTATGAGCCTCTGGGTAGCGGGGAACAGGCAGATTAGAGAAGATGTTCAGCTAGGGATAGACCTCCTTTGCTACCCCCTTCAAGTCTACCAGTACACCATATCATAATAAACACATAAACACATTTCTAAACATAAACGTAACAGAGTGGTGGAGGTGCGGGGTAGCCATGTTTGAACTTCGCAGGAGCGAAAGGTCCTCTTCTCTAATCTGCCTGTTCCCTGCTACCCAGAGGCTCATACCCAAATCACATATGCATAACACTATAAATTGCAAAGTTGTATTACACTGCAAGAAAAGGTGGTTGCATTGCTGCAGAACAGCCTAGAAGAAACCTGCCCCGCTACGTAGGCAAATTCACTTATAATTTTTAACTGTGCCAAACCCTTTGTAGCTTCTGCACAAAACTGGGCAAGTATGTGCTACAGAAAGTGGTTATGTGCCAAGCAGCAGCAGCTCTATGCATAAAGAAAATAGCGAGAAAGGAGGACTGTTTCCCACAGCTGAGCCATGGCTGTACCACTGAAGCTGGTAGCTGCAGCAAGGTGTAAGCAAGTCACACACTTGCACAGCAAAAGATAGTTTGCTATTTAATCACCCAAAAGTTTACAAGGTTGAAACATTTGCATTTGTTTGGCATGTACTACACTACAGCAATATGCTTATTCTGCTCCAACTGCCAGTTGATATGTTTGCCAGCACTCATGCAGATGTGATTGCCTGCTTTGATCCAAACCCACACTTGCAATTTGCCCTCTGTCCTGACATCAATAATTATAAATTATAAAAGTCAGCCATTGCTTCGTGTCACACCTGCTCACACTGGGCATCAGGTATGTTTTGTCTCTATTGTTGAGAATAGCCGTATTTTCTTTTTTTTTAGCTGCGCCTGTGAAGCCTTGTCAAGAAACTTTGAGAGTAGGTCTTTAAAACACTGCAAAAATACCAACTCAGAGCTTCAGGACACCAATACAGGCCACACATTAGTTATAGCGTAGCAAGGGGTGTGGTATGTGCCGAGCAGCTCCTAGCCTAGCATAGCCATGGCTGGAAAAATGATGCAATGTTAGGGTTAAGCATAGCACAACTTTTACTGGTGCAAGAACATGTGCGTAAACGTCAATGTAGCACAGACTGCCGTCAGCCACTAAGCTTTCATGACTAGACTTTTTGACTGTCCCACATTTCGTGGTAAACAGAATGAGGAAAAAAAAATGCATATTGGTACAAACATTGGCACTGAACTCATCGCACCAATTTGCAGGCTTTCTATGAACTTTTTTTTATCCAAACGAGCAAGAAGTAAGTTGCGCTATAGCAGTATGCGGAACACAATAGTGTGACTTAGTGTGAAAGCGCGCAGACCCAGGGGAGCATTCCTTTCATAGGCATAATGCGCTTCACTTGCTAGTAATAGTAATGTTGCATAAGCTTCATGCATTGATTCGGCAGAGAGGACTGTAGATATTACCAGTAAACTACAGTCAACGCATGTTATTTGCTGACAATTTGCTCAAACTGCATGTTTGTATATACGCGCTGCCAACTGCCAATTCACACTACTGCGGGGACGGTGCTGTCACCTATAGCCCGATCTCGCCACCAATGGCATAGCATACTAAATACAATTAAACCTGGATATAACGAAATTGACAATTCCAAACAAAATTGTTATAAAGAGGGTTTCATTATATGCAGGTTCATTACGAAAACGGAAAAAATAAATGTACATATTAAACACAATGGGAACTGAAAAGAGCAACCCAGAACACTTATTTAGTGGTGAAAAAAACTTGTGATAGCAATTATATGGACACTCACGAAGCATTTTTGGCATCGCTGCCATGTTCCATAACAAGTCCAAATTGATGTCAAGCCCCTCCGCGCATCGAAACTTTAAGAGCGGGTAGAAGTGTGCAAGCGCTGCTGAAGCAGAGATCAAATGAGCTGGCTGATCTCTATCGCCTGGAGAGCATGTACGATAAGAACTGCCATCCAATGCTCAGACAGAAAAAAAAAACCACTTGGAATGAGCATGAAAAAACGTGGAAGAGGGGTGGCTCGAGTAGCATCGGTGAACTTTGAAAGACACCTTCGTCAGCATAACTTGAAAAAAACAAAAAAAAGCAACTCTGAACATCGTCGGGGGCCACTCCATGCCCGCAAGGCACGGTGGAAAACTGTTCTGTAAAGCAGCAGGCCCCACATGTGATGCTAACTAATAGCGTAACAACGCAAAGTGACTTCTGCAGCATTCGAAAAGTGGCACTGCAAATTTGAAAGTAGTTTTATTTTGGATGGAGGAAGTCGCCCGTGGTAGCAACCTCCGGCTCGAGAGGCACAGACCCGCCTCGCGCATCAACTAGTGCTCGCTCTTGCCTGGGAATCGCTGGGGCCACGAGTGCGCACCACGCTTCGTCGACGGGGCAACCAGAAAAGATGCATGCTCAAGTCAAAGTTTCTAGATTGCATATTGCTAAAATTCCTTATACCAAGGTTGTCTCTCGCTGTTACTTCATTACATGTGCTTCTATGGAATAGAGGTTTGTTATGTCCAGGTTTAACTGTACTGCAAACAGTATTCACGGCTTCGCATTTGCCAAGGTCTTTGGGTGTAATTCTAAATATGTAGCTCCTTATTTATTTGCAACCCCCCGAGTTCATATGAAGAATCAAGCTAACATGCTTGCTTTTTGTTACGCAGGGAGGCCAACCGCAGGGCTCACAGCCGTCCTGGCACGGTTCCATACAAGGCAGAGCGGACCAAGCACATTATCAGTGAGGAGCAGTGAGAGAGAAAATAAAGGGTGTTATAACTTCCATCTTTTATTATTCTGCTGCTCTGCACGTCAAGTCCCGTGTGGGCAAATCTTGCCCTTGCATCTAAAAAAAAAATATGTGTATATATTCCGAGCACTAATTACCACCGAGTAACAGAGCAGAAAAACAAACAAGGTTGAGACTCGTCAACCAGATCTATGTACAAGGAGAGTTCAGGTATGCCGCTTCTCCCGCAGAATTGCACGACGAGCACTGAAAGACATTTGTGAACATCATTGCTTTGTCTTCATTTTTCGAGAAATGAGCGGCCATCTGTGCGCTTTCCTTGCCGAGATGAGTTGGGGGCAACAGACTGACTCAGTACACCCTGACGGCAGGCGGCACCATCTTGCACTCCTTCTGGTCCAGTGTCTCGTCAATGACTGGCCGGTAACTCAGTGCGACCTGCACAGTTAGAATAAAATGAAGACTGAATGTGCAGAAATGCAAGTGGACTGGAGCAGCTCAGGGAGCAGGAATAATGCTATTTTGTAGCAGCGTTGGCACACCGGACAGTGCGTTTTCAAGCATTGAAAATAGTTTTAAAGCTGCTTTCTACGGTCAAACATCATCGTTAACCAAAGTTACTTCCTGTAAAAAAAATCAAAATTATTTCCTATAAAAAAATTCCAATTTTGTTCAGTCAACATTCAGTACTAATGAGCTTATCACCCACAAGTGTGTGTGCATTCCCATCAAACATCACAGCTGACTGAAAACTTGGAATAAACAAAAGACAAGCGATCTTTATCTCTTGTTCTTATGACTGCTTGGCAGAAGTTTGTTATCCCCGTGCTAATTAAACACACTACTCGGAGCGGAAACAAGCAATTCGCATGGCATAGACAGCATCCCACTACATCCGCATGACCATCACATGTTTTCATAAACTCGGTTGTACAGAAGGGCATTTAAGTATCGCGGAAAGCAGATAGTGTCCCTTCTGTCGCTATCTCAGTCGCTGTGTATCCCGACACTGCAATACAGTTGACTCTTGTTAATTCAAACTCGAAGGAACCTCTAAATTTTGTTTAAATTATCAGAAGTTCTCAGGTGACACATTATGATTACGCATTGATTTGAACACATTTAAAAATGTTAGGTGTTTCTAAGTCCTCACTGCATGCAGTGAACAGAAAGCGGAGGTGTAAAGTCCACAAGTTTATTAGTTATTTACTGCTGATCAGACCTTATAAAAAAATCGTGAATTGCAACTACAGTAAAACCTCGCTAATTTAAAGTCACTGGGGCGGTAAAAAATCTTCAAATTAAGCGGGTTTTTGAATTAACAACATGCATGAATAAGAGGCAAGGAACTTGCAATTATTCGAATAAGGGCTGATCATTTGCTGCGCGGGTTAATTAGCAGCTCCAATAGTTATGTTTTCCCTCAATACCTGGTCCAGACTTTTGCGGCAAACACGGAAGAATGGAGGGCCTCGCTGGTGTCACCAGAAAAAGAAAAAAAATACCGCTGTCGTGATCAAATAAAATAAATGCCTGCGGAAAACAAGATGCGCTTCACTGCAACACAGTAGTGACACGTAGGCAGCATAACGCATGCTCCTCACTGCGTCAGCACATCATGATGTGTCGCCTATTCTTTCTGGTAAAATGAAAAATTAATAATGGCCAGCGTTGTGGCTTAAAAACATGATCTTTGAAGCTTTCAAACTTAGTTTTCAAAACAGGCAAGAACTTGACCCGCAGTCGGAGGCTCGCATACATTGCGAATTCTGCCAAACTGTCCTTTATTGAATTTCTTTACGATGCCAAAAAGAATGGGTAAAACGTGATGCGCTAAGGGGGCGAGAAACGTGTAATACGCCGCCTGCGCGTCACCACTGCATTGCAGTGAAGCATGTTTTGTTTTCCGCAGGTGCACATATCAGTTAACCACAAGACCGTTTTCCTTTTTTTTTTTTTTTTCCGCTGGAAATTGCGGGGCTGGGATGCTTAAGCTGCCACTAATTAGTATCGCTACATTGCGTTGCCTTATAACACTTAAGGGCCACCGTTTCAGCGGATTTGGAGTGAAATTGGGGTCAAGAATTGGCACATGGCACACCAAGTTTTTGAATCAACCGGACTTGTGCTGACCGCCACTTCAAATTATCCGCTCAGGCTTGCATTGCAAATACAGGACTGTAAAAATATTTCGAATTAAGCAGAATTTTGAAATAACTGAGTTCAAATTAATGAGGTTTTACTGTACTTCATTGCTATAGGTTTGTGCCTTTAGGAGCAAAAAGATGAGGAAAAAAAAAACTCATAAAAAGAAAACAAAACAAGAAGTCATTGGAATCAGGAGCTACAGTAAACTCGCGATAATTCAAACTCTGAATTCATAGGTATGTGCTTTCAGCTTACAGCTCTCCATACCAGTTGAGAAGCATCACGGTTTACCATGCGTGTGCTTCATTTCAAACGTTTATGTCCGACACCTTTTTCCTTGAAGACCTCAGGCACTTATTTTTCATTTTTAGACTGTTAAGATTATATAAGCACACAAATTTTTAAATAGCGGTGGGAGAGCAGCAGATATTTTCTGGTATGGGCCTGCAAAAAGTATGAATTAACCAAAAGATGGTGTTTGAATTAACAGGCTTATAATTAAATACATTGAAAAAAATAAGGTGCGGACCAAAAATTTGAATTTTGTTTGAATTAACCGAAAGTATGAATTATCAGAGCTTGAATTATCGGGAGTCTACTGTATATTTGAAATGCTCCTTGGCGTCGCCACCACTGCGTGCTATAATACGATTATGCGAAGGTGCTAGCTTGGTCTTTTCCGCACTTTAACAAAAAAAAAAAAGAAAATATTTTCTGGTGGGTACTTTGGGCAACATCTGCTGTGGTACTGTATTTCTTTCTTGGTGGCAAAGGCGTACGCCAGAAGATGCACATGGGAATACCGTATTTACTCGATTCTACCGCGCCCTCGATTGTAACGCGCCCCCGATTTCCACCACGGAAAAAAAAAAAGAAAAAAACGTAAGACATCGATTGCAACGCGCACCCATTTTTCTCGCTGGCCTGCGCGATCACACCACTCGAAAAAAAAAAAAAAAAAACGACTTCTTTCGGGAGCGTCTTCCATTTAAATATGAGGTACGGGCGAAGCTTGTGCCCATCTGACGTGTAACAGAGCATTGCCGTCACTGTAGTTTCACCGTGGACCGATGTCAGCACGCGAACTTGCTTCGCGCCCTTCTTCTCGACGGTTGTGGTGCCAGGCATGTCGAAGTAAAGAGGCGTCTGATCGGCATTCCCAATTTGCCCAAGCATGTAGCCGTTGTTGCGCCGCAAGTTTAGAACGAACCTCTGAAAACTGCGAAGCTTTTCATCGTACTCCTCCGCAAAACTTTTCGCATATGCATGTACCCCTTCGGAGGGAAAAGCCTTTCCTCTTCATAAAGTTAGTTAGCCAGCACCTGCTCGCTTTAAACTGGCTCCGCATTAGACCTTTTTCTAAGACCAATTGCATAGCCCGCACTTGGAGCAGTTCTGTCGTCACGGGCCGCTGTGCCGCTCGCTGCTCAAGCACATACTCGCCAAGCAGCTCTTTAATTTGCGGAAACCGACCCTGCTGTGGTCCACCGAAGCCTTTGCGTGAAGCTTTGCTGTCGACAATCTTCTGCTTTTGTTTCCGCCGGTCTCGCACGCACGTTTCGGGAACTACGAACGACCGCGATGCGGCCCGATTTCCATCCGTTTCTGCACACGCGATGACTTTTCTTTTAAAAGCGGCATCGTGGTGCACTCGAGTTTTTGGAGTCTGCCCTTCCACGCCGTCGATGCTAATGCACTACTAGATGAACTCCTCAGCACACGTACGAAGTGCCGCACATGGGAAACACATAGGCAGAAATGGCCGACGCACATAGGGGGCGGCCATTTTGAATTTGCCGATGGCAATAGATTGACCCTAATTTTTTTGTTCGTACTCGATTCTAACGCGCATGCGATTTATGAACTGGCTTAACCGGAAAAAAGGTGCGCGTTAGATTCGAGTAATTACGGTATGTAAACGAGCACTGCCGTTTAGAGCACGATCAAAACGTGTTCCCAGCTGGTACAAATTATTGAGGTTTCACTATATTGCTAGATCATTCACAGTTACTCATGTTGGTGTACTACTTTTGTGGGCAAACCACGGCGATAACATCGATGAGACGAGCAATAGCAAGCACGATAAATGAACTAACTGAATTGGAGTGTACTAGATCGGGTCCATTGGAGTGGGCGGGAAGCGGTGCGGGTGAATAAAAAAAAGCATTGAAAATTTTCGGTGACACTGAAGTCACCTTCACCTGAAGCTTCAGCTCATAAGGGCTGTTCGGCTGGTGGATGTGTGGACTCATACCCCCTTTCTAGTACACCCTAACCGAGGGTGCTATTTCGAACAGTGTCCAATTCTGCCATTATATTGTCCATATTTTGTAATGGCGGCATTTTGAGCCAATCAGCATTGATCAATGGCATAATCCGACAATGTGTTGAATCTGACAGTGTCTAGAATAACACCTCGAATCACGTGATTTAACACTCGATATGGATGCGGCCACGTCCTTCGCATAGACAATGCTCAGTGATCATTTACCATGATTTTTTTTATCATCATCATTCGTTTAACATCATCATTCATTTAACATCATCATATCATTTAACATCATCATATCATTTACCATACCAAGCGGGGCTACTACTTCGCCTCTAAATTTTCAGCTTTTTGTGGGTCGGATGTCCATACTTTCTTCCCTCTTCTTGCTTTTGTGAGTTAGCGAGCCGTTTTTTTCCGCACGTGCGGTACGCTGTTGAGTCATAAGGTACATGATACAGTGGTCTGCTGGAAATCTAGGGCACTAATTTGTAAGTGCCCTCACTTAAACAGGGAGGGGGGGGGGGAATTGAACAAAAAGACGAGAGGGGGCCACACGGGATTGCCTGGGATCATAGGTCAGCAAAACTTATGAAGCTCACTCATACTCGCTAATGAAATATATCACTCGGTCTCAGCATCACCAAATTTTCTTAAAACGGACTCACTTGAGCTCACCAAAACATTACTGACAGGACTCGCTCAGACTCACGGCTGGATAAGTCCAGGCAAATCAACTTATGATTCCGTTAGCCTGTAATTAGCTTTTTAGACCCTGGTGTCAATGCTCTTGAAAACTAATAACGCACATTTCCGGCACTCTTTCTGGCAGCTTCTGATGTACTAGCTTTAGTTTATTAGTTATGTAAACATCGATTGCACATACAGATGAGAGTCCCCGAGTATGAATACGGAAAACAGAATGAGTTATAAATGCTCGCAACTCTTGAAAGAGATGAGAACATAAGGTATATTGATCAAGAACTTCCCTGGAAGAGGTGACAAGAAAGGGAGGTCAAGTCAATCCCTATGTATATCACGCCTCCGATCAATAAAATTCTGGTGTATTGGTGCATGAACGACACTGCTTTGCCTTACATGAGTGTAGACATGAGTATATATGTGAATCCAGTCCAGGTCATTAGCAATACTAAAAATGAGTAGATAGAAGCATAGGTCGGCAAAAGAAAGTGAAACTCACTCAAGAAATATATTTTTTGCACTTTGGACTTGCTCCAAATTAAACTCGCCAAAGTATTACCCACCCCAACTCACTCAGACTTGCGCCTGGCTTACCCCAATGCCATGCGGAAAATCACCACCAAATGACCCGTCAATCACCACCCAGCGTTCACTCAAGACATCAAAACAAATTATATTAAAGTCATGCCGCTCTTCAATCTCAAGCTTTGAACAACAATGCCTGTCAATACCAATGTTGAGCTGCATTAATTCATGCTTTGAAAACCATTCTGAATTCCCCCAGCTCGCCTCTTGGCTGTTTTCTCCCTTGCTCATTCTAGGTGGGCACACACCTTCCCCGTGGCGATGTCCATGTCGGAGAGGGTGTGCTTCCGCCAGTGCTTCTCCAGGGGAAGCTTGTGCTGGCCTTCCAGGGGCTTGGCATAGTTGTACTCGTCAATGCGATCCTAAAACAGAAAATCGACCAACTAAGCCCAACATGACAACCTACAGAATGACAAGTAAAAGAAGGAAAAGATCTTCATTAGCAAAACATGTCATATTTGGGGCAGAGGCACACCACCGTACCTTGAAGTCTTCGCGGGCGTGTGCACCTCTGCTCTCCTTGCGTGCCTCAGCAGCGTAGATTGCTTGCCGAGCACACAACAACAGGTTCTGCAGCTCCAGCCCTTCAACCAGATCAGTGTTCCACACCATGCCTCGGTCGCTCACCTGCATTGGCGAAATACATTCATGACTGAACAGATTCACAAGGTTTCCATGCTAAGAAAGAAAATATTACATGTGGTTATCAACAACAGAACAAAAAACACCAGGCCCGTGGAGAAAGCGCAGCACAGTCACAGCAAAAGCTGGAAAAGTCGCATTGTTGAAACCCATTCCAAACTCTCTTGGGGCTACAAAAACAAGTATGCTTGCAAGGTACCCACTACTCAATTAACTGATTTGGTGGTCGATGATGATGGAGAGTTATGACTGAGCAACCCGCTCGCTTTGCAATTCATACTGTGTGACACCTCATTACACAAGTGGCATTCCATAATGCTCAATTGTTATTTTACTGTTCTGCCCCACTGTATCACACATGCGAATGTGGTTTCTTCTCGACATAACATTTGTGATCTGCAGCACCGGCATGGCTCTGTGGTAGAATATGCCACGGTGAGGTACATACAAGATATTTTGTTCTTGTTCTGCGTGATAACAGTTAAGGACACGCCCAGCAGCATACAACTATGGCACCCTTGTTGTGATCTGATAACAGTATGCACTGTAAAACCACATCACTATTCTTGAATGGCTATAGCACAATAAATGGACAGAGGCAGAGAGGGCTCTCTCTGCTTTGCTGGTATTGCACTGCACACACTCACAGACACTGCCTCACCAACTAGCATAAACAGATGCCCTTGTTAAAACTTCGGTGGAAAGTGCATTACACGCAAGAATGTGACCTACGTCAAGGCTTAAAAAAACAGGAAACTGCAGCTCTAAACACACTGAGAAAATAATAAGAATAGCTCTGATGAACTGGCAAGACAAAACAGAACATCACAATAGGTTCACAAGGAATGCTTGCAAAATTTTAGCAATGAATTCGACCCATAACCTGCTTCCAATAAACCCTTATGATTTATTTGGGGTCAATAATCTAGCATATGGAGCGGCAACCTGCGTGGCAGCATAATGCGGCGTCTCTTGCCATTTCCTATTTGGAGGCCGGCATGTCAGTTTTGACCCAAGATGGTATTTTCTTGTTTCTTTCTGGCTGCACTTTTGTGACATGCGTGCTGAAGATATGCACGATTTCTAATCACAAATAGTGTTGCTTTACCCGCAGAGCCCGGCTTCATACAACACTTCATACAACCTCGAAAAGTGCCAGTTCATTGTATATGGACTTACACTTAAAAGGACCCTGCTACACCTTTTGAGCATCATCAGAAAATGCTGCCGATCGGTAGTAGAGGCTCCTGACAACACGCGAGCCAAATAATATAGTGCAGCTTGCGGCCTGGAATTCACAATAAATTATCAAAGTCAGCTCAAAATTCCTTTCTCTTCTCTTGACAAATGACGGAAGACGCTAAAAAATCACTCATAGAAAGCCATCTAACAGCCATTGGCCGAATTGATTATGGCGCGCTTGGTCGTTACAGAGATCACCGCGGGAGGCCGCGACTTGCTAATGCATGCACGCCCGATCACACTCGGGGGTGGAAGTGCTGTGCTAAATGAACCATGCTGCGCCAATCTAACCTGCTGCACCAAGCGGCGCCTAAACAGTAATTTCAACATGCAACGCCAAATTTAGCCGAGAGTTCTATCGTCGACCGAGCAACACGCGTGAACTACACAAAGGCGCCGCCTCCATATGAAATTCCGTGTCTATAGCAAACGTCGTATTTCAGATCATGCATGAATCTTGCGTCACATGAACACAATGCGTAACGATCGCGCGCGGCACCTGTCTACTGTTGCATGGCACGTACGGTGGTCAAAGGTTCTGTTAAGCTTCATAATCATAGTTACCACTGTTCTTTGTCACTGCTACGTAAGACAATAACAGGAGACCTACATTATTACACTTTCTCATGCGACCGGCTGTGGAGATTGCGAGTAATTCACTTACGCAACACGTTCGCGACGGCCCGTATCTAGTGCTCTTGCCGTTCTGCTATGCGAAAGCTGCGGAAATCAGCAAAACTGAAGTCCTTTACATCAATGACAATTTACAACGCAACAGTAGCGTCAACTGAGGTCTTTTTTTATAGTGCATGGAGCTGTTCCATCTGCTCTTGTTTTCAGCGTCGTTCCAACGAATGAACCAGCAAGCACTTCATGGCGGTTTGGTGACACGTCCCACTAGGGGAGAGAAATTCATCGCTCTTTTTCTAAGTGTTCAATGCGCAGATACAGCTAATATTTAGCTCAATCGTTGTTTCGTATGCTATAGTTGCACCTAGTTGCCCAGCAACCTGTGCAAGGGAGTCAGGCTTTGCACCACTCAAAACTGCATTGACAGGTGGCGCTGCATGTCCCCGAAATTCCAGAGTCTAACGTCTATTACAATAGGCCCGAGACACGTGCCTACGATGTTTGTGACAAGTTCAGTACATTATCGTAATCTGATAACTGAACTTCCGTTTGCAGCTGCCTTAACTGCATCGCGTCCCGCAAACACAGAATGAGTGCGAGAACGTAACTAAGTAGCGCGATTTTCGACGCATATAGGAGCTTACAATTTTTTGAAAAATGTTCTTTTTTAGTGACTTGTTTTCATCATCATCTACAATAACTTTTGCAACCTCAGCCGGCCAAAAATTTTTAGAGCACTTCTGTGTTGTTTTCAGTCATGATATTTCGGAATCAAATTAAAAAAAAAAAGAGGGGCCAGAGAAATTAAGGTTGATTTTCAATCTTCTTTTTTTTATGCCCTTATTGAGAGTGAATCCGTTTATGACTAGAGATTCTCTCTCATTACAACATACCCATTGATGTTTACGTAAAAGTCTGTTGTAACAGAACTCCTTTAATAACAAACCAAAATCCTTTTTACTATGAACGTTTGTTGTAAAGAGGTTATACTGTAATGCATTTCATTTTTTTTTCTTCTGCTTCTTCACTTAACCCCAAACAGACGCGGCGACAATAAAAAAAATCACCTGACTACAAAGTATAACGCTGGCTACTACTTCGCCTCTAAATTTTCAGCTTTTTGTGGGTCGGATGTCCATACTTTCTTCCCTCGTCTTGCTTTTGTGAGTTAGCGAGCTGTTTTTTTCCGCACGTGCGGTACGCTGTTGATTGTTGTTGGTAGGCTTTTGATCTTCGCACGACTCGCGAAGGGTGGACAGTAGGATTGTGCGAATATTCAATTGCTTTGAATATTCGAACGAATAGTAGAATATTTGAATTCGCTTCATTTCTAATGTAAGTTATTGAATATTTGAAAATATTCAATACGAACTAATAGGTGTATATTAGTCCCTATGCAACTGCCTGTGGGGTGGTTTCACTGCAGTATAAAACTGTTAAGCCGTAAAACAACTATCCAGAGAAAATTTGCTTTGTCCCAAAGCTCCACTTCAAATTTAAAGGGGTCCTGCAACAATTTTCGAGCACGGTCAGCAAATGCTGCCGATTGGCAGTCGAGGCCTAGCAAGAACATGCGAGCTAAATATTATAGCGCAGCACACAGCCTAGAATTCACAATAAATTCACGAAGTCAGATAAAAATTGCTATCTTCTCTCGGCAAATGACGCCACAATGTCAAAAATCGCTTGTCACAGCCATCGTAGCAGCCATTGACTAATTTGAACATGTGGCGCTTGGTCGTTACTGGAGCCGCCATGGATGGTCGCGATTTGTCCATGTGTACATGTGTTATCGCACTGAAAAGCAGCGTAATCGATTGCAATTGTACAATGCGTACAATTGCAAAGCTCCGCTTACACTAGACAAATTCCAAAAATTTTTGCGGCAGTTATTTCGTCAGGCAATAAGCTTCTTTGATGAATACATTCCATGGATACTTGAAAAGCTGTTGAAAAACCCTGTAGATGACATATGATCCTCAAATCGACTGATCATTTTTTTAAGCTTACAAGCTTGTTTTGCCGACTTATACACCTTAACTGTAATAAATATTGCTACGTATTTTACAGGAAAGTCAAATCCTGCTACTTTTCAAGTCGAATTTTACAGAAAGTCAAATCCTGCTACTTTTCAAAGTCGTTTCGACTTCCTTTAAATGGTGAAAAAAAAAAAAGCGCTTGCATAGAGGCCTTGATTAAATTTTTAAAAGAGATATTGTGCAGGTTAGTTAGGTCATGATCATTATGCCCATTTTTCCTTATATGTCGTATACACTATTAGTCGACCAAAATCACTAATCGCTTCCAATTCGGTGCGAACCTAAAATTTACTATTCGCCCAAGCCTAGTTCGACAGTATTTCACTGCCCTGGTTGTTTCACAACTTCCCTTCTCAAAGTGAGAGGAGGGAGTGACACAGAATGTTGTAATAAACATAGGAAAATAGCTCGCTTCAAAATGGTAGTGGCCGCACACGTTATGACAAGTCAGGCGTCAGGCACCACGTTTGTTACTATGGCAACGAGGTCAACATTACATTGGAAAGAACAAGCAACGATGGTGTGTGAGCTTGCCCTGTGTGAAATGAGCTTCCAGCTCTTTCTGTGAAATGCCATGTGAAATGAGCTTCCAGCTCATTTCATTGGGGCAGCCATCCTAGGTCACTAGGCTAGTCAGGGTGAGTGAAACGTGGTCAAGTGACCCCGCGAACATCAAGTTGAGAGTAGGCATTCTTTTTCTTGTATTTTGAATTTCTTAAATCATATAACTTAGGACTGCATGCGGTTATCACTGCAGTTCTAGCTGCATCAGTCACAACCCACGAGTAAAAAATAGAAGCTTGCCCCTATAAGCGATGCCTCGTGCGTGCCCGTGAGGTGAAACTGTAGCCGTTTCACTGAAGCGCGGTACCGCCACGCAGAACCGATCACCCTGGCATGCAGTGCGTCACCTACACTGCTCACTGCGTCACTACCTCGCCATTTACAGTAATGCAAGCATATGTGTGTTTTTTGTGCATCCTTGACCTCGGATCGTGCGAGTTGCCTGTTGGTTCAACGCAATGAAGAAAAGCATTTTGAAAGCAGTGGCAAGCTTGTGGATGCTAGCATAGT